GTTGTCCACATTTCCTTAGAGAGTAAGAGCCTGGAGAGCTGAAGCCATGCTAGAAGAAAATGCTAGCCACAACAGTGCCTTGCACTTAGAAGAAAACAGCAAAAATTGCTACAATACCTCTATTACCTTATGTGTGCTGTGTTCAGGGGCTTTTTAAGTGCCGTTTATTTATTGCTTGCATTCATAGCTCCAGTGCCCTCGACAGGCTGGATGTATTCCACAGGTGATTCATGCCAGTCCTTCCCTTCACCAAGCACCATCCCAAGACCACTGCCCAGGGTGTTCCTGAGGATGCCCTGAGTCTCTGCAGAAAGGCATCCACAATGCTGATAGGTCCAAGTCCTGCTGCTGCTAGCCCTACAGCTCCTCACACCATGTCAGGAGCCTGTAGAAGAGAGTCTCTGGCTGTGTCTGGGCCATAGTGTCCTGTGACTGAGAGCAGATGCCACACCACCTTACCCTGCTGTCACCGTCTGGAAATACCCTTCCAAAAAAAACCTTCAATTAGCAGTTACCCAACTCCATTCTATCCATTGACCCCAGGCAAAATGGAGTATGCCATCAGAGTAATTTGTCTTAATTTCACTTCCTCCCTGAGGGACTGGGCTTGTAGCTAACATGCAGTTGTACCCATTGCACAAACCTGGTCCTCATGTGTGGGGTGTTTTTCTTCTGCATTCACAGAAGAGGCTGATTCAGCATCAACAACCCCCACAGTACCAACATTCTCGACACCAGAGACACTCTCCATAGAAGAGACAACACCCTCAGAACCAATAACCTCTGCAACAGAGATAAACATCTTGGCATCAACAGCATTAACCACCACCGCAGAAGAGATGATGTCCTTAGAGGAGACAACTGCCATGGCATCATCCACCCCCAGAGTAGAGGAGTCCTTCCTAATGCAAACGACAATAGTGCCAATGACATCCCCAGAGGAGACAACGACCATACCACTAATGACCTCCCCAGGAGAGACATCCACCCCAATAGAGATGACCACCAGAGCGCTAACGACGGCCGTGCCACAGCTGTACACCCAATCTGATATGGTCACCACAGTGACAATGGATACCACAGCAGAGGAAAGCACACCAGGTAATCCTGTCTACTGTCACTCACTGGTCTCCTTAATGCCCCTGAACTTCCCTCCCAGACCTCATTGCACCACAGGGAAACTCACAGAATGGCAAGAGGGAGCTTCATGCTTTCTTCCCCCGACAGTGCTTCAACTCTGCATTTCATGTCCATGTCCATGTTTCCTGCACTAATGACCTCCCTAACAGGGATATCCACCACAGCAGAAACCACATCAACAGTCCCATCAACCCCCATAGCAGAGATGTCCACCCCAGCAGAGATGACCACCGCAACAGCAATGGTTACCACAACAGAGGAAAGCACACCAGGTAAGCCTGTCTACTGCCACTGGTCTCCTTAGTTTATGTGAACTTCCCTCCCAAACCTAATTGCACTGCAGGGAGACTCCCAGAATGCCAAGATGGAGCTTCATGCTCTCTTGCCCCATTAGTGCTTCAGCTCTGAATTTCATGTCCATGTTTGCTGTATTAATGAACTCCCTAACAGGGACATCCACCCTAGCAGAGACAACCATAACAGTCCCATCAACCCTCAGAGCAGAGATGTTCACCCCACCAGAGATCACCACAACGACAATGGTTAGCACAGCAGAGGAAAGCACACCAGGTAACCCTGTGCACTCTCAGTCACTGGTCTCCTTAGTGGCCCTGAACTACTTTCCAAGAGGACTCTAACCCATGCTCACTCCTCACCCAGGTGCCAGCATACGTCTCTCTGGTGGGAGGAATCACTGCGAGGGACGCGTGGAGCTATACAACGGCAGCACATGGGGGACAGTGTGTGATGACCAGTGGGACCAGCGTGATGCCCAGGTGGTGTGCAGGCAGTTGGGCTGTGGACAGCCCGTGGGTGCCCCACATGCTGCTCATTTTGGAGTTGGCTCCGGGCACATCTTCCTGGACGACGTGCAGTGCCGCGGGGACGAGCCCTCTCTCCAGATGTGCAGGCACAATGGCTGGGGCGTGCACAACTGCTTGCACGTGGAGGATGCCAGTGTCATCTGTGCAGGTGTGTGGGCAGCAAAGACCACCACCTCCAATGCAGATCATAGAGGATGTGTTGTGATGTCCTCCCTTGGAAGTAGCCGTGCTGACCTCCTGCCAGGAGGTAAAGCCAGGGCAGAGCAGTGAGGTTAGGGGCTTCTGCTGACTAGTGCTGGAGCATATGTCATGCAAAAGCCCCGTTCTGCACACAGAGGGCATAGCAGGCTCTTCGTGCTTCCTGGTGTAGCTGCTCAGTGAGGTGCCAAAGAGAAGGTTTGTGGGACCATACTGTGTTGAAAATGGGGACAAATCAGGCTGATGTCTAGATGGGAGAATGGCAGAACATTGCTTCATGATCTCTTCCAGCATTAGTCCTCCAGCCTGGCTTTTCATGTCCATGCCCCTGATCATGTCCACTCCCAGATCCATCCATTGCCACAAGCCTGCTGTACTTGCTGCCCTTTCACTCACTTCCTCTTCTTCCTTGCAGCTGCCCAACCAATCCCTCCTGCTCAATGGCCATACTCAACAGGTAATTCTTGCCTACCCAGCTTATCTCCAGTTTTGCAGTGAGCCCCAGCTTGGCATGAGAGAAGAAGAGGGAGGACCTGCCAGGCAGATCCTGCCCAGTGCATGACTACTGGTCCTCACTGGCCATGACATATCCAGGGTAGACGACTGGTCCACCTCAGTTTGGAGAATGGGGTGCAAAGGGGTTTTCTGCAAGTCCCCCAGTGTCCAGAGCATCTCTGCCCCTAGGCAGGGCCCAGAGCCCCCAGCAGGTCCCTGGACAGGGCAAATCTGCTGTCTGTACATCCAGGGTCTTTGCTCAGACACAGTCACTAACACAGAGCATTACCCAGACTCATGGGCACTGCAACAAAATCTTCAAAAACACTGGGGAGGTGGGGTCTGATAGTGCTGGGCTGGAGGAACCTAAATCACGTCCTGTGCCTCACCCAGGTGCAAGCATACGTCTCTCTGGTGGAAGGAACAGGTGTGAAGGTCGCGTGGAGCTGTATGATGGCAGCACATGGGGGACGGTGTGTGATGACCAGTGGGACCAGCGTGATGCCCAGGTGGTGTGCAGGCAGTTGGGCTGTGGACAGCCCGTGGATGCCCCACATGCTGCTCATTTTGGAGTTGGCTCCGGGCACATCTTCCTGGACGACGTGCAGTGCCGCGGGGACGAGCCCTCTCTCCAGATGTGCAGGCACAATGGCTGGGGCGTGCACAACTGCTTGCACGGGGAGGATGCCAGTGTCATCTGTGCAGGTATGTGGGCAGCAAAGACCACTGGCTTTTTTCCAGTATCACTCTGAGTGGGTTTCAGAGCTGTCTCCTGGGACAGCTATGCTGACATCCCTTGGTAGGGCCACACCAGAGCAGCGAGTCTGGGTCTTCTGCTGCCTGGTAATGGAAACAGGTGCCTTGAAAAATCCTCATTTCTGCACACAGAGGGCACACATCAGGCTCTCCATGCTTCCTGGTGTAGGCACTTGGTGAGGTGGTAAAGAGAAGGAATGTGGGGTCACTCTTTGTGGAGGATGGGGCAGGACTGGGGATGCATCAGGTGGGTGTCTGGATGGGAGAATGGCAGTAGACAGCTATGCTGACATCCCTTGGTAGGGCCACACCAGAGCAGCGAGTCTGGGTCTTCTGCTGCCTGGTAATGGAAACAGGTGCCTTGAAAAATCCTCATTTCTGCACACAGAGGGCACACATCAGGCTCTCCATGCTTCCTGGTGTAGGTACTTGGTCAAGTGGTAAAAAGAAGGAATGTGGGGTCACTCTTTGTGGAGGATGGGTAGGACTGGGGATGCATCAGGTGGGTGTCTGGATGGGAGAATGGCAGTACAGAACATCAGGATTACTTTTGGCATTAGCCCTCCAGCCTGGGTTTTCATGTCCATGCCCATATCCATTGACATTGCACTCATAACCTCCCTAACAGCAACGGCTGCCCAACGGGAGATGACCATCCCAGTGCCATCGACTGCCATACCAGAGGTGTCCACCCCAGCAGCGACATCCATGCCAGTGACAACGGCTCCCATAGCAGAGGAGAGCACAACAGGTAGCCCTGTCCACTCTCACTCAACGGTCCCCTTAATGTTCATGAACTCCTCTTCCAGACCTGATGGCTCTGCCGGGAGTCTCCCAGCCCTGGGCAGCTCTAGTTAGGACATTCCTGCCACCCCAGTCCACAGGGAAGATGCAAGTAGAGCATGGAGAAGAGTTGGCAAATAGGGCACTGAGGCTTGACACCAGGAACTCTATAGCCATTCCTGATGAAGGAAACTGTTTTGGGAGGGATTTCCTCTCACGGCAACCAGGAGAAATGTGCCAGGGGACTCATTTTGCTTAGCCCCTCCAGTGCTGTATGGGTAGTCCCAGAACCACTTCCCAGACATGCTCTGGGATTAGGAATGTTGCTGGAAATGCTCATCTGAGGGCTGCAGGTGCTGAGCTGGAGTGAGCCTAACCCATGCACATCTCACCCAGGTGCCAGCATACGTCTCTCTGGTGGAAGGAACAGGTGTGAAGGTCGCGTGGAGCTGTATGATGGCAGCACATGGGGGACGGTGTGTGATGACCAGTGGGACCAGCGTGATGCCCAGGTGGTGTGCAGGCAGTTGGGCTGTGGACAGCCCGTGGATGCCCCACATGCTGCTCATTTTGGAGTTGGCTCCGGGCACATCTTCCTGGACGACGTGCAGTGCCGCGGGGACGAGCCCTCTCTCCAGATGTGCAGGCACAATGGCTGGGGCGGGGCCAAATGCTGGCACCGGGCGGATGCCCTCGTGGGCAATGGAAGCAACTGACTCTTCTGCTGAGCTCATGGCCATCTGTGCTTACTCCCCTGTGTCCCCATCCCCTTCTGTCTGTCATCCCCATCTTGCTACCCTATGCCCCAAGGTGGAGCCATATCTATGTCCCAGTACCTTCCACATGAGCAACATGTCTCAATTCTGTCTCTTCCTTCACATCCACAGCTGCTGAGGCCACCCCAACACCTCCATCAGGTCCTTCAGGTAAAGCTCTTCTGTGTCTCTTCTCACCTTTCTGATTTGTAATTTGCCTCCCTGTTGCACTGTTTTTTAAAAATTGTCTTTTGTCTCCATGGCAATACAACTTTAAATGTGTGTGATCATTCCTAGACAGGCTGTGAGGTCCCCTTGCCTTTCAGTGCTGCTGATTTTGCAGTTATGCTGGTTAACTATGTCAAACCCTTTCCTCACTGGGCTCTTCAGCTGGGTCAATGCTTAGGAAGTGTTGTCTAATCCTCTGATTTCTATCTGCATTCATCAGTATTGTCAGAGTGGTGTTCAATTATTGCAATCTGTAATCTTTGGCATTTCTGCTTATTAGAGCTGTTATGGAATTTTTGCTACTTTTGCCTTCAAAAGCAGATTTCAGTTTTAGAGCTTGACCATGCACACTTGAAAGTAGTATGAAAGCAAATTTCCCTAGAGCCCACCCAGTCTGATCAGAGGAAGAAGCAGTGTCTGGGTACACCTGATGCTTCCAAGCTTGGAATAACTTGAGAATCCCAAAATCCTGAGGCAGGGAGGCATGTGCTGTACTGGTGGGTTTCCCTGTGCAGGAATATAGAATGGGTTGTCAATTTTATATGTCACATCTTGCAGGATTTAAGTTCAGAGCTTGTGATCACCTTCCTTTTAGGGTTATATGTGCTTTTAGCAAGAATCACGTCATTCCTGCCAGCAGGAACACAAAAGCTTTTCACAGCTGTTTATAGTAGAAATGAGTGATATTTAAGAGTTTTCCCAGCAGTCCAAGACCATAAAACTACAGAGTGTCCTGGAAGACTTGCAGCTTATTTACCCTCCAAAGTTCTTAGGAGAATAAAGAGAAGCAGCAGAGTAACTGGGGGGAGGTTGTCTGTTGAGGAAGGTACTTCCATTTTGACTGTCATGACACCTCCTAGAATCAGACCTCCACTGGAGAGAGACACCAGATCAGAAAGCATCAAGGTGTTACCAGCCCAGCCTGAAGAGGGTAGTCTGACACCATGGATGTGACAGGGAATTCGAAATCCAACATGAAAGTTAACCTAAAGCAAAATCAAATATTTGGTTTGATTTGGCTCACACAGAACATCACCTGCAGTCAGCAGGGGACCTGCTTTTCAACAGCTGCAGATGAGACACATACACCTCAAGTACTCTTTTGTAGAGGTTACTGTAACTAAATTCTCTTCCATTTCTTTCTGTAGCACCTAATTTTTGTGGTGGCTCAATCACAAATTCCTCTGGAACGCTGCAGAGTCCCTCCTACCCTGGGAATTACCCAGACAACGCTGACTGTGTGTGGGAAATACAAGTAGAGAACAATTTCCGTGTTACACTCACATTTAGAGACATTGTGTAAGTAAAACTTTGACTCCTTGGGCAAATGACGAAGTCAAAACTTACCTGAGAAGTTTGAAAATTTATCTGAAACAGGCAACCTTCCCAATTTTAAAGATACTTTCAATGGCATCCAGCAGATGGAAGACCAGATCAAAATCTGGTTTACTCTAGTAGTTTTTGCTCACAATTTTTCTGCTGCAGCTACACACAAAGCAAATGAAACCTCTGCTATGAAAACTTGAAGTGGTGAAAGATTTTCTTAAATCATGTGTTAGGCAGTGAAATCAGAGTTTCTGAAATGCATTTGACAAGGTGTTGATGTTTGTTCACCAGGATGCAAAGCGGAACATGCCAGCATGACTACATTGAAGTCTATGATGGTCCTCAACACTCTTCCCCTCTTCTTGGGAGATTTTGTTCTGGTTCCTTTCCCACATACATATCCTCTGCAAACATGATGACCGTTCGCTTTCACAGTGATTCTAGATACTCTTTCAGAGGATTTCAGGCTCACTACTCCTCCATTCCAGCAGATCACAACACCAGTAAGTTCCCAGTCGGTGTTTCTTGATAGACAAATTTATTTCTTGGGTTTGTTTGCAAAATAAATATTGTTGTAAATGTAAAGAACTTTATGGGAAGTGAATGATGTGTGTGAAATGTAATGGGTTGGGGTGTGAACTACCTACCTTCTAAACTAAGAATAACACAGCATTTGGTTCAATTACAACCCGTGATAATTAACACATTCCTTAAGTCACTAAGACATTCTATCTTCTTCTACCAGCCCTTCTGTGCTTGCCAGACTACATGCACGCAGTGGTTAGCAGAGCCTATCTCCAGTCTCAAGGCTACTCAGCAGAGATGGTCACCCTGAATGACAATCACTGTAGACCAACGATCACCTCCCAGGAGGTTATATTCAACATTCCCTACAATGGCTGTGGGACTATACGAGAGGTATGTTCACTGTTGTGGGCACTGGATTGCAGGACACACTCTGAGAAGAGTCATGGAAGGGCCATTGTGGCTAAGAATTGAGTCAATGAGACTTGGAGGTTTTCAGTGCTATAGCTTTCCAAGCCTTAAGGAGTATATATGCTTAATAGGAAAGACCTTTTAGGGAGGAAAGCATGGGAAAACGCTACGTGAACTTTCTGTGATTTAAAGTAGATGTAGCCTTGTAAATGCCATTCCGGTTTGGGATGCCTGTGTACTACAAGACTGGTGTTTGTACAGTTGTTCAATGACTTGGCTCTGCCTTGGAATTAACAGAGTTTTTATCCATTGATTTCAGTTTAATTACATACTATTTAAATGTGTGGGCTGAAAAGACCAACATCAAGCTCATTGGTTTAAAGAATTTAAGCTGAATCTACATATTTTATTGCATATTTAAGCCTATCAAAGCTTAGAACTTACATAGAATGTGACAAAAATGCAATTCCTCATTTTAAATTATATGTTAAACAGGAGAACAATGATACAATCAACTATTCCAACACAATCAGAATTGCATCTTCTGGGTACATAATCAAGAGGAACAAGAATATTAACTTACACATCAGCTGCAAAATGCTGCAGAAGACATGGATGCAAGTGATGTATGCTGCTGAGGACACTGTAGATGTGAATGAATACCAGTTTGGAAGATATGACATGAACATCACCTTCTATGATTCCTCATCATTCTCGCGACAAGTGCGCGACTCTCCGTACTACATTGACTTGAACCAAAACTTGTACCTTCAAGCTTGTCTTCACAGCCAAGACCCAAATCTGATTGTGTTCGTGGACACATGTGTGGCATCACCTGATCCTCATGACTTTAACACTTTGGCCTATGACATAGTCAGGAATGGGTAAGAGCTTTCTCCAAGTTGTTAGAAGCACAGCTGTAATCCGCAGTTATCTAGTAGAACAGAGCCAATCTTAGTTGAGTCAGACCTCATTATCAACAGACTTGTTAAAAGGGGTCTTTGATTTTTTTATTTTTGCAGTATGAGCCTGGAGAAAAGAAATTATATTTAGGCCTTAGTAACATTTAGTTTCACTTAATTCATCTTAGTCCTATAAGCAAAAATCAAAGTAGTGGGAGCAATGTAGATGAGATAGTAAACTGGCAGCAGGAAAGGAATCATAGAATCATAGAATTTTAAGAGCTGGAATGGACCTTGTAGATCATCCAGTCCCAACCCCCTGCCCTGAGCAGAGACACCTCCCCACTAGACCAGGTTGCTCAAGACTTCATCTATCATCCTAGGAGTTAAATATTTTAGTAAAACCAGGGCAAGATTTAGACTGACCTTTCTATGCCTTGTATAGCACAGACATAAGTATCTGTCCTTCCCCTCTTCACCACTGATAGTGCTCTTCTCTTGCAAAAAAAAAAAAAAGAAGAGTTGCAATGCTCTAGCTGCTTCAAAGGACTTTCAAAAGTCTGTATTTTCAAACTCTACACTATGCTATCAAAGCTGCATTTTTATTCCATTGTCTATATAGCACCTGACTATGATATAAGCTAGTATGAATCTATTGTATTTTTGCAGGAATGTGCATGAAGACTAACTCTTTTTTTCATTCCTTTCCAGGTGTCCCAGAGATTCTTCATATGCCACATACTACTCCCCTTACAGCCACTTCGCTCGGTTCAAATTTAATGCCTTTGAGTTCATCAGTCGCCACCCATCAGTCTACCTGAAGTGTGAGCTGGTGGTCTGCAGCCTTGGGGACTATTCCTCCCACTGCTACCAGGGTTGCACCAGCAGGCCCAAGAGAGATACAAGTTCTGTTGAGGAAAAAGTGAATGTAGTTGTTGGACCACTGCAGCTTCGAGAAGGGAGTGTTAAGAGTGGGAATACTACTAAAGCCAAATAAATTTCTCTCGTATTTACTTTAAGGTGACTTCAGGCTTCAAGAAAAGCCATAGCTCTGCATTTCTGACATCTGTCACTGAAATCTGCTTTTGCAAGCTTAGCCATAAAGAGGAAAGGGTCAGCATTTTGCAGGCCTCTGTTTTCACCTGTTTAGAAGTATAGCTGCTTTGGCTGTCCCAAAGGAGAGGTTGCCTGTAACCCATTTTAGTGCTATAACTTCATTGAACTAATTAGCTCCAGTCTGCTTGTGTAACTTGATGGCACTTGGGGACATGGTTTAGTGGTAGACTTGTCAGCGTTAGTCTAGTGGTTGAACTCAATGACCTTAGAGGTGTTTTCCAACCTAAATGAGCCCATGATTGCATCATGGCCAGCTGGTAGCAAACTCCCAGCCTTCTTTAGAAACAATTCATTCCCTCAGTTGTCTTCTGCTGATGAAGTTTACTCAGTTAAGTGGTCACCTCTGCTAATATAAAACCTGTCCAAATAGTTGAATGCAAGGAATCTGTGAGAAGTTTGCTTGTTTCTGACTTTGATCTGGGAACCATCCCTTCAACACAGGAGGTTTTTGTGCCCTGATCTTTGACATACTGAGATCAAACCCCACCAGCTTTCACTCATAGGGTTGGGCTTTTCTGTGCCTCCTCTCTGTGAGGTTCCCACTGTTGACAATTCCCTCACATCAGTTGATGGTGTCCCCATCCTGGCAGTTGTTGGGTTTGTTCCTGATGGTTTTCTTACAAGACTGGCACTGAAGAAACTGCTTAAGTGTGGGATAAGGTCAGATCAAAGGTCAACATCACCCACTAAATGGTTACAGGGCAAATATCACACATTAAGAGCCACCAAAATGCTTCGCTGACAGTCATGAAGGTGTTACTTGTAGGAAGCTGTGATCTCTTTATCTGCAATGAATCCTAAACCTGCTGCAATGCTTTAGAACAGCTGTGTAATCCTAACACCTCATAAAGGATTAAGAAATGATTCCAAAGTTCATGCCACAAGTTGCTTGGTACAACGGTTTTATCATTTTTCTTCTCTTTAATTCTCTTCTCACATCATTTGAAACCCATTTATCTAATGCCTCAAAATTTTGTGAGCTGGAGTGAAAATGTGAATGAGGTATCAATAAATATTTCAAGGTTTACTAAAAGGAAGGAGAATTTAATTCGGGGGAAAATGAGGCATGTCTGGAAAGGAAATATAAAATTGACCTTACCATGGCAAATGGAATTGTGGTTATACAATATTCTAATTATTGAGCTTTGCTTTTAATGCTAAGTTTCTCATTGAAACAAGAATGGGTCTGTGCTTATTTATGAAATTCAGAGATTTCCAAGCTGAAAATAATCTGTTATGTGAGTAGTGTAATTTATAATCAGAGGGAGGAATGTTTACAAAGGAATAAATCTATTTTTTCTTTCAAATTAATGGCGCTGTGCTTAAAATACAAAGAAATGTTTTATTGTGTTGAAGAGTGTGGTGTGTTGGGTTAAAAATTCCAAGTGATGGACTGAGCCTCTGCTTCTGAAATGCTACATAGGGAACCTCTCAGTATCTTAATATAGGCTTCAAAAGGAATAAGTCAATTCTTTGTCCTGGTGCACATATGAATTTACAGAAAATATCTGGCCCTGGGAAGTCAGATTGCTGTCTCTGGATTCAGAGCTTCTTTTGGTTTCCATTACAGTCTCCTACATGTCACACACAAAAAGCAAAATGATCCAAACCATTTGAGGGACTTCTAAGTACCTCTCTATCCACATTATCTCCAGCCCTGGGTTCCATCCAAGGCATCAAGCCCCTGAGCATCCTCTCCCATCCAAGCAGGCACTGCAACCTCTACTGTTCCCATCAGCATTATCAAAGGTGAGGACTTAAGGAATGGTGACAGGAGCTTCCCCTACATGCCAGTGACAAATAACTGTCCTCTACACCCAATGTGTTTCTCAGTGTCACTGGAGAGAAACCTTTCCCTCCAGTATTTGACTTTCTGCTCATCAGCTGTGTTTGGAAACCCTTCCATGTATTGCTGTGAAGTGGTGTGAAGTACCTCTGTTTGGTGAGAGTGTTGGGCACAGCTCTGTGTGTGTGTGGCTACAGATGGCACTTTAATAGAGTTAAACTGTAAAGGGTAGGTCAGTACAGGTACATGTTCTCCTGGTCTTGGCACTGGGGAGGTCACACCTTGAGTACTGTGTTTGGTTTTGGGCTACTCACTTAAAAAAGGCCATTGAGGCACTGGAGTGAGTCTAGCCAGGGGCAACAAGGCTCAGAAAAGGGCTAGAACACACAGGGAAGGGCTGAGGGAATTGGGTTTGTTTAGCCTGGAGAAGAGGCTCAGGGGTGACCTCCTGGCTCTCTGCAACTCCTGCCAGGGCTGGAGAGAGGTGGGGGATGTGTGTCCTGCCATGGCTGCTGGGAGAGGACTAGAGGGAATGGCCTTGAGTTGACACAGGGCAGAGTCAGATTAGATGTTATGAGACATTTTTCACTGTTAGGGTGGTCAGGCATTGAATAAATGAATATTTATTGCCCAGGGAGGTGGTGGAGTCATCATCCCTTCAAGCGTTTAAAAGGCATCTGGGTCTGACTCTGGGTGATATGGTTTAGTGGTTTAGGGGTTACAGTGGTAGTACTGGGTAGATGGTTGGACTTGATGATCTTACAGGTCCTTTCCAGCTTTGATAATCCTCTGATTCTATATTTTTTAGTAAATAACTGCGCAGGGTCTATGGGTTCCCAATGCTGTGCTGTTCCCATGCCACTTCTTTGGCCAGCACTGAGGTTAAAGCAAAGCTCACAAACAAAGTTCTTGTTTGCATGTTTGTATGCTGAATTTCCTGTGCTTTGCTGTCCTGTTTATCTTTCTGTTCTAATTCTGAATTATAAGGCAAATAATTCAGTTCTGGAATCCTCCTTCCCAGGATCCCACTATAAAAATATTTACAGTTGGGTATAAATAAACATTGTTTTGTTTCTGCATCTCATAGCTAGAAACTAGATTCATTTCTCAGCTGTTAATAACAAATCCTCATGTAGACTGAGATTTAACAAGCTAATTAGAGTTTGCAAGGTGTTTGTAAGGAACACATTTTTTCTTGTTGTCATTATTCTCTCTATGCCTTCCCGTAACATCCCACAGAAACTCACCATGAGCTGCAGTGTGCACTAGCAGCCCAGAAAGTGGATTGAATCCTGGGCTGCATCCAAAGGAGTGTGGGCAGCAGGTCAAAAAAGCTGTTTCTTCCCCTCTGCTCTGCTCTTGTGAGACCCACTTGGAATACTGCACACAGTTCTGGTGTCCTCAACACAAGAAGGACATGGAACTGTTGGAGCAAGTCCAGAGGAGGACATAAAGTTGCTAAGAGGACTGGAGCATCTCCCCTATGAGGACAAGCTGAGGAAGTTGGGACTGTTCAGCCTGGAGAAGAGAAGGTTGTGTGGAGACCTCATAGCAACTTTTCAATATCTGAAGGGCCTACAAGGAGCCAGAGAGGGACTCTGTCTTAGAAACTGCAATGATAGGACAAGAGGTAATGGGTTCAAATTGAAGGAGGGAAAGTCTAGGCTGGATGTGAGAAAACAGTATTTTACTCTAAGGGTGGTGAGACACTGGCACAGGTTGCCCAGGGACGTGGTGGCTGTCCCAACCCTGGTGGTGTTCAAGGCCAGGCTGGATGAGCCTTGAGCAACCTGATCTAGTGAGGAGGTGTCCCTGCCCAGGGCAGGGGGTTGGGACTAGATGGTCTTTAAGGTCCCTTCCAATTCAAACCAATCTATGATTCTATTTCATGGGGTATTTAGCCTATATTTTATTTGTTTGGCAGTTTATATATAGATGAGAAAAATGAAGGAGATTTTAAAATTCACAAAGCACTTGTGTATTTTAGGAGATTTGCTCTGTCAGGCCCAAGAACCATGACACAACATGTCACTGGGAGTGAGATTTGTTTTCATTTCCTAGAATAACACTTGGATCACCTGTTTTGCCTTGAATCACCTGGTACCCATCCAAGCAGATTTTTCCTTCTTCTGTCTGAAATAAGTAGATTAGTCACTGTGTTTAATGTAGAAATTAATTGTACTGCTGCTGTTCTAAAGAGCCTGCCAAGTCTGAATGACTGTCATCTTTTTTCTTGAATTTTTTTTCAGTCTCAGGAACTCTAGTTTCAGAGAGATGGACTCTCCCTTTCCTGCTACCAATAGACTTGTGGTGTTGAGGTGTTTCTGGAACATTTGGCATTAGTTACCAGCACCTTCCATTGCTAAGTCTGGGTTCAAGCAGGGCTTTGATGCATGAGATACAATGAAAATTGAGTTATGTTGATGAGACACCTCTGTCCTCCCATGAAAAGAGGTGTCAGGGAGCATAACATAATACAACTCCCTGAAAGGAGAATGTAGGCAGATGGCAGTTGGTCTCTTCCCCTAAGCAACAAGAAATAGGACAAGAGGAAACAGCCTCAAGTAATGCCAAGGGAGGTTTATGTTGGATATTAGGAAAATTTTCTTTGTAGCAAGGGTGGTCAAGCTAGCACAGGTTGCCCAGGGCAGTGGTGGTCTCACCATCCCTGGAGTGAATTAAACGCCACATAGATGTGGCACTTGGGGACACGGTTAGTGGTGGGCTTGGCAGTGCTGGGCAATGGTTGGACTTAATCCTAGAGGTCTCTTCCAGTCTAAATAATTCTATGTGGCAAAGCTAGGCCTTCTTTCTATCCCTAGCTGCAGGCTCAGAAATCCAACTGTGTAGCTCCAGTTGCAGGAGTGTGGCCAAAACTTGTTGCTTCAGTTTCTTTTCAAGCCCCCAGGCAATGTGGGCAGTGTTCATTTGAAAGCTGTACACTGAGCATGTAGAGTAAACACTTGAGCTGAGCCTTGCCAGTGTGAAACAAACCTTCTTTGTTTCAAAAGTTCACTGGATTTGGCTAAGGAATGCATTGTTGAGGAAGACAAGTGCACTGCTCTCTGCCAACACTGCAAGGATTCATCCAGGAG